TGTACGTCCTCGTTGCTAGGCGGACGAACTCCCGGTAAAGAGTTGGAGTTTTATATGATAAATAATTTATGTTCGTTTGAGGGAAGCGAATTAGAATATAAATATATTTATCATTGTTATGTAAACGAGTGGACGGGATGTCCGTGTCTTGTCTCGCACGTGCAGCTACTAGTGCACGTGGGACAGGTATGCTTGGGACAGTAGCGACACGTACAGGTGTCTGTGTTCGCCTAGCTGTTGATCAGTCCGGACTTCCCGCCCACCCGCCCATTCTTGTTAGTACTTGTTCAGTTTTTGGGTGGCTGTTACATTATATTTCCAGCAATCCTTTCACATGGGGAATGAAACAACCTGATTTGTGTACAGCTATTTTGGAGCATGAAGGACAAGACGAAGTGGCCAGCAATTCCCGCACAGCACTGGGATTACGGATCCATTTTCCGATTTCCATGTAATTTTACCTGAATAAATATGTACGTCCTCGTTGCTAGGCGGACGAACTCCCGGTAAAGAGTTGGAGTTTTATATGATAAATAATTTATGTTCGTTTGAGGGAAGCGAATTAGAATATAATTGTATTTTGTTTTGTTTTGTTTTCCTGGTTTTTTATGTCGTTATAGTGGAGCAAGTTTTCAGACTCGAAGATTACAAAAATACCACGTCCATGGTATAGTCTATTATGCTTACAACTTTGTTTAACCTTAAAATATATCGGTCCTTTTTTTTCTTCAACTGTCAACTCATAAACAAAAAAAAATCCTCGATTACTGAAGGGTATTGGTGTATGAAACTCATCGATTACAGTTACGTGTTGGTGTATGTAACTCCTCCATTACTGTTACGTATTGGTGTATGTAACTCCTCCATTACTGTTACGTGTTAGTGTATGTAACTCCTCCATTACTGTTACGTGTTGGTGTATGTAACTCCTCGATTACTGTTACGTGTTGGTGTATGTAACTCCTCGGATACTGTTACGTGTTGGTGTATGTAACTCCTCCATTACTGTTACGTGTTGGTGTATGTAACTCCTCCATTACTGTTACGTGTTAGTGTATGTAACTCCTCCATTACTGTTACGTATTGGTGTATGTAACTCCTCCATTACTGTTACGTGTTAGTGTATGTAACTCCTCCATTACTCTTACGTATTGGTGTATGTAACTCCTCGATTACTGTTACGTGTTGGTGTATGTAACTCCTCGATTACTGTTACGTGTTGGTGTTTGTAACTCCTCGATTACTGCTATTTCCGTGTAACTCTTTCCTTTGTTTGTACTTTTCCTTCGTATTATGATTTACGATTTTGTTGTATTATCTGTTTTAATATCAAAAAGGCAGATTTTAGAATTTGGCTGTTGGCAAAAACTGACGAATCGAAACTTAATTTAATCATTTTATTTATATTGTTTTTATCATGTATACACCAAAGTCATACTTTTTATGGTGTGAAATAACTATATTTTACAATATAGTTCAGTCATTGAAAGCTCGATCACAACTCCCGAAAGCATACTTTCTATCCGTGCTATGTCATCTCTCGTCAATTCAAATGAGCACAGGTATCAATTAAATTTTATTGACAATAACATAAATATGCATTTCCCCCTTTTGATTAATATCTCGATATTTTTATATCCCAAATGGTTTTTTATAGCCCAATTGAAAATAAAAATGTGTTTTTTTTAATTCCCAAATGATTATACACATATAAAAGTTATTTAACATGATGTAAACAGTCTAATATATTAATTTTAAACTTGGAATTCTGCCATTGCCGTTTTATCTTAACTGAAATGTCCAGGTTATAGAGTTGCTTAACGATTTTGGATTTTTTTTATCTGATAGACACTTCACAGAATATGATCATTTTCTTCTTATTTTCCGGATAAGTAAGCAGCATTTTCAAATGTGTTTTCCTCCAGTATCTGGACAAGCTTAGATATTTGGGATTCAGGGGGCTTCGTCGTACCATCTTCTCGGAATCCTGAAAATATCGGGTGATAAATGTGAGCTTGTCATTTTAATATGACCAAGTGTCTATATTAACACTATATATGATGGTCTAGTATTACAGACCAAAATGTTAGAAATGTGATAATAAAGCGTGTATCGTTTTGTAGCAAAAATTCAATAATCATCTGTTTTGCATGTGACGCTGGCGTCTCCTTCATCATGAACAGCGTAAATAATAAGGTTGGTCACTGCATCGTTTTGTCTGAGCTTTTTCATGAGTAACATATGAACACGAGGGATTTGTTTGTTTCTTTGCTTGTTTGTTTGTGTTTAACGGCCCATCGACGGCTGAGGTCATTTAGGGCCATGGTGATTTATTTATTTTTTAATTTTAGTTTTTTTAACAAACATGTGAGTAGCGAAGATAAAATCAGATAAAAATGTTCATTTTTAAAAGCATTCGCATTGTTATGTGAAGATATTTAAATAAAAATGGGGTTAAAAGTAATAACAGAGATAACGAATAGATGATATGGACTATGTGATAAATATAACGTAAAAGAGGGTAAGGTGGGTTGAAAGACATCAGAGTCTATAGAATAAACCGATGTCTTTCAAATAGTGAATGGAAGAGCGCCAGATCAAAATCAACAAAGATGCATGAATATACAAACAACATGTTAAAATATCCCGTTGTAATGAGAATATAATATTTCTATCTGAGCATACGATCTTTAGGAAGGTTGACACCAACAGTTACAGGAGGTAACAGTTCAATGGCTGTTGGTTTTGATTGTAGGATTTCCAAAGATGTAGGGTAATAAAGACTGTGGACAAGTTTTAATGTCGCCATCCTGATCTCATCGGGAAAATAGGCGTATTCCTTGTGTGAGGTGAAGGTCATGTTTTTGTTCAAGTGCCTTGTTTTGTTTTAGCCATACCGGTTCTCCCTTGGAGGACACTATTTAGATTTGACCTAGTTTTACATGGCGGGTGTCATCAATGGAGGTGACGTAATTGCCTTTCCGGAACACCTTGTCTTATTGTTGTACTTAATGTGTCCACTTAAATATTTTCTTTATTCATAATTTTGGTTTTATCAATTTGAAATCAGATTTACGACTTTGGTGGCGCTGGTTTTTTTCACACTATTCTAAGGGTTGTCGTGTTGACTATTCGATCAATTGTGTCGTTGCCGACTAAATTATTTAAGAGTTACATACATGTCAATATTGCTAAGACAAAGGAATGAACGTAGCAAATAGTCGAATTTAAGAGATGTTAAAATGTTGTCCTACATTTGTTGATATAACCAGTAATATGTGTATACCTACGTTTCAGTGCATCAGTCATAGATTTGTCCGGACACAAATTCTCAACTTCTCTCCTCAAGGCTGTGTCAGACGAAGCAGGTGAGAAAGTCAATATCCTCAGAGAGGGCTCCTCTACGGCCAGTACACGCATAAACATGTCACGGGCAGCCTTACCTATACGTAACATATATAAAATAACTATAACAAATATAACTAGAAATTGGTGAATTAAAATTTGACGGGCTTTTTACCGCTAGGACTGATTTGAGTTTGATCATGGTCTTTCGCTTCTAACAATTAATAAATATTCCTTAAACTTTCGTAAGAGCACAGCTGCGACTTTGAGTAAGAAAATGTGCAGTATTTGGAGTCAACGAAAAATCAGTTATACCAAATATCAGGCATGAACTTGCGCAAGTCTACAGTAGCTGACTGAGTAGTGGGGGATTACCAGAGTGCGAATGACGTCAGAGAAAGAATGGATAAATATAGGCAGCCAATGTCTGTAGTCCGTAGAAATCATGTAGTTCTTCAACTATTTACATCAAGACGATGAATAAAAACTGGCATTTTGTCTATATCGGTTCGGTTTGCCAAAGAAAGGCTGATGACCCCCTCCACAGTAAAAAATGTAAACTGTCCATGTCATACTTTTATGATTGAGAATCCGTAGTGATTGTATAGTATTCGACTTGCTCAAGTTAGGAACGTTCTCGTCGGTAAGATTTTGAAAGCAAAGGAATTATTTGAAATAGCGTTGGACGTTAACAGTAAACGTTACAGAAAAACTGAAGACAGCTGATTCATTTGGGATGGAATTCCATATCGACTTCAAAGATTTTCCCCCGACAGGGAGGATTGATATGATAATTTGACATTTTTTTCTAATAACATGTTATGAAGAAACGTTAGTTCCAAGCAACTACCAATCAACAGATTAGGACGCTAAAATCTCACGAATCTGATGGTGAAAATCCTTAATAACAAGAAAAACTCTTTCGACCCCTAGGACCTACTATGATTCTACCTCAAAAATATTACTTTTTGCTTCTTGGTATCATAGAAAAAAGAATTGTTCAATATTACTTGCTCTTTTGTGTGTCTCAATATAAATCAAAGTACTGAGGTTCTGAGAAAACAGCAAAATTGCACAAAAATGAAAACGGTTTTTGACTTACACCTTTGAAATTTTACTTAATGTATGTCAAGGTCATTCATTTGAACAAATTTTAAAACCCTTCATTCAAGCATACTTCTTGCCAATTATCGTTACCCTTAGATTATTGGTAATTCAAATAAAGTGGTTTGAATATTTTAAAAATTTTGACCTCTGTGACCCTGAAAGTTGATCAAGGTTAATCATTTAAACAAACTTGATAGCCAGTTACCTGATTATTACCTATCAAGACTCTAGACCTTGTAGAACTTTGGAAGAAAGTTTTTGAAGTTGTTACCCTGAAATAGCACATATAAAATTAGACCCCTAAATAACTCAAAACTTGATCTGGTCAACTAAAAAATGTTCATTCAAAAATATGCACATTTGTGTCGTCCACATCATGCCTGAATATTAAGTAAATCGATATCGGAAATCCTTCGAAATATTTTGATTAAAGAAATTTTCATTTTTTAAACATTTGACCTTTGTGACCTTGATAGTTGATCAAGGTCAATCATTTTTTATCAAACCTGATAGCTAAACATTTTAAATATTAAATATAAATACTCTAGACCTCGTGGAACTCAAGAAGTTTGTTTTTTTAATTTGTTACATAATATAGTGCATTTGAACTTTGACCCCTACCGAACACCAAAAGTTGACCAATGACACAAAATGCTTCTTTGGGAAAAACTTGTTCTGTTGATCTAAAAAACATATCCAAAGATGAATTTAATACCTTCAGCCATTAATGAGTTATTGCTATTAAGGTTAAAACGGATATGACGTCATGACGGCCATTTTGTTTTTAAATGAAGTTAAAAAGTCAACAAATTAGTTAGGACACCATGTTTAAATAAATTTACCATCATAAACATCTGTTTTAACATGTCGGCATTTTAAAAAGATCAAAGGAAATATTAAAAATGGCGTAGAAAGTTAACGGTAAAAGTTCCAGAAAAACTGATGGCATCAAATTCATCAGAATACAATTCCCCATCAATCACAAAAAGAATTAAAAAGAAAATGAAAAATGAAAAAGTTGAAAACAGCGAGGAGTTTTATTTGACCTGACTTCTATCAACATGTCATGAAAAAAAGAATATCTACAAATATGTATTAAATATAGCATTTATGAAGCAAACAAAATTATTTCTATTGTAACAGGAATTGTTATAAACTTCCCAAAATGTTCCTGTAGTAGCAAATGATATGTCGCAAAAGATAGCATATAACCTGATCATAAAGGTTTTAATGTTATTGCAGGGCACAGCTTCATATAATTCAGAAATATATATATCATAAACACCTAGTTAAAACTAAAATGAATAAGAAATATCAAATAATGTATTTCTTTAGGCAAATTATGAGCCGCGCATACAGTACCTGCACAATAAAGTTGCATGTATCCCAGAGGAGTTGTTGTAGCTGAAGACGTCATGTTGATCACGACACGAGATTTTGTAGAATCGGAGAAAGTCTGGAAGAAGCTGGTGTTAAGAAGGATCATCCCAGTCAGGTTGATGTCGAAGTACTTCCTGACCGACGTGGAGTCGGAAAGTTCCAGTGATTTCTTTGTTACATCGCCCACAGTAGCGCAGTTGTGTACAATCATATATTGCTCAAAGTCATTTTTTGAAAAGTTGTTTCCTGCTAAAAGGTCGTTGAATATTTCTTTGATATTTTCTACATTCCCCTGGTCATACTGCATTACGACAACGTTGATATTTGGAGCAGCAGACAACATGTCTGACCTGACACTCGTGAGAGCATCCGCATTCCTGGCCATTAGTACTAACACAGACCCAGAAGGGAACTTTCCACCAAACTGTAGTGCCATACATCTCCCTAGTCCTCTACTGGCGCCGGTAATGACTACAAAACTCTTCTTAAGGAAAACGTTTTTATGTTTCTCCATCTTGTTTTTCTAACACACCCGACCGTCTATAAGTACAGTGTTAATGTACGTGAGGACGCTAACCCTGATCCTGACACACTTATCTACTCAGTTCAGTATCTAAAGTATCGAAGTATCTAAATATCGTATGGAGAGCGGTATGAAGCAACGTTTGATATTTTTTAAGATAGGGAGAATACGAAGGATAACTGTTAAAGATTTACCTCTGATGATTTACTTCGGTGAATATATAGCTGAGGAATGCACACCTGAGAAGGTTGTGTTGAAGGTGCAAATCATACGCATGCGCACTGACAGAATAGGTTTATATTTTTTTTATCATAAAGTCACATAAGTAAATGCTTTTAACCTTCAAATTATAACTTTGTAATCAATGATATAAGGGAACACAATGGAAATCTCCATAGAACCCTCGACAGATTAGTTATCATTTGTTTGTGACGATTTATAAATGTATCAATACTACAGTGAAGAAAATGTTTAAAGCGTTGAAAATTCTGCGTCTTGAGAATGCTTTGTAAACCGAGATCATTAGTAAATAAACCGATATATAGATTATATATATTTTTCACCAGGTCACTTCCCGGGCTTCGGACGATGTTGTTGTTATCAAAACATGAATAATTTAAATCCTCAAATTATTATACACAAAAAAATTGTGTTGAAGAGAATAAACAAGTGCCCCCTCCCCGTCCTCCCACTTACCTCTCATTTACACGTACCTTGTAATTTTCAATAAATATCCGGCTATTAGGCGCTTAGTAAACTCCTGGAAACCATTGGCAGAAGATGGTTTAAGAAGAACTTTGGGGACTTAAATGTTTATGTGCCTGGACATTACGCAAACTATTCCTACCAATATAATTAGCATGTAATGATTTTAATATTCTTCAATCGGCTATTCTCAGGCAATGTTTCACAATACCCAGTTTTGAAATAGTTTGTCGCTCTCTACAAAATTACAATAATATACTCTATAATCAGAACTTGTTATGTAATGTATATATTGATGTCAAATGAATATTCATATTGTCTTTAGATTTCATATCCAGTTAGTAATAAATATAAATGCAAATGCATAGATACCCCAATTAATATATCATAAAATATAGTGATAATGATTGTCATTTTATAAACAAGGTTTATAAGAAATATAGTAGCATAATAATTTCAGTCTTATTAAGCATTCTCTTTGATGTTCATAGGATAATATATAGAACAACTTTATCTGTTTAGATAGTACAGATTTTTCAGTCTGAGAATATTTTCTTCTTCAATTATATAATTTATTCATTTCGAATCTAATCTAATCCAATCTAAGGAAATATTTTCACGGTTTATTTCATCATTCATAAGTTTACCAGTTTATACCTTACTGACTATCGTCAGATAAAGGAATTGTGAAACACAACAAAGGAAATGAAAAAGACATAACGTCACTGTACCCAAAACGTTACTGTACCCAAAACGGGACAGTACCCACAACGGGACAGTACCCACAACGGGACAGTACCCACAACGACACTGTACCCAAAACGTCACTGTACCCACAACGTCACTGTACCCACAACGGGACAGTACCCACAACGGGACAGTACCCACAACGTCACTGTACCCAAAACGTCACTGTACCCACAACGTCACTGTACCCACAACGGGACAGTACCCACAACGGGACAGTACCCACAACGTCACTGTACCCACAACGAGACAGTACCCACAACGTCACTGTACCCACAACGAGACAGTACCCACAACGTCACTGTACCCACAACGGGACAGTACCCACAATGTCACTATACCCACAACGGGACAGTACCCACAACGGGACAGTACCCACAAAGGGACAGTACCCACAACGGGACAGTACCCACACCGGGACAGTACCCAAAACGTCACTGTACCCATAACGTCACTGTACCCACAACGACACTGTACCCACAACGGGACAGTACCCATAACGTCCCATAACGTCACTGTACCCACAACGGGACAGGACCCACAACGGGACAGTACCCAAAACGGGACAGTACCCAAAACGTCACTGTACCGCCAACGGGACAGTACCAACAACGGGACAGTACCCCCAACGGGACAGTACTCAAAACGGGACAGTACCCACAACGTAACTGTACCCACAACGGGACAGTACCCAAAACGTCACTGTACCCATAACGTCACTGTACCGACAACGCCCCTGTACCCACAACGGGACAGTACCCACATCGTCACTATACCCACAACGTCACTGTACCGACAACGGCACAGTACCAACAACGGGACAGTTCCCACAACGTCACTGTACCCACAACGGCACAGTACCAACAACGGGACAGTTCCCACAACGTCTCTGTACCCACAACGGGACAGTACCCACAATGTCACTGTAACCCCAACGGGACAGTACCCACAACGTCACTATACCCACAACGGGACAGTACCCACAACGTCCCTGTACCGACAACGGGACAGTACCCACAGCGTCACTGTCCCCACAACGGGACAGTACCCATAACGTCACGGGACCCACAACGTCACTGTACCGAAAACGGGACAGTCCCCACAACGGGACAGTACCCACAACGTCACTGTAACCACAACGGGACAGTACCCACATCGGGACAGTACCCAAAACGACACTGAACCCAAAGCGTCACTGTACCCACAACGTCACTTTACCCACAACGGTCACTGTACCCAAAACGTTACTGTACCCACAACGGGACAGTACTCAAAACGGGCCAGTACCCACAACGTCACTGTACCCACACCGAGACAGTACCCACAACGTCACTGTACCCACAACAGGACAGTACCAACAACGGGACAGTATCCAGAACGTCACTGTACCGACAACGGGACAGTAGCCACAACGGGACAGTACCCATAACGTCACAGTACCCACAACGTCACTGTACCCACAACGAGACAGTACCCACAACGGCACTGTACCCCCAACGGGACAGTACCCATAACGTCACGGGACCCACAACGTCACTGTACCGAAAACGGGACAGTCCCCACAACGGGACAGTACTCAAAACGTGACAGTACCCACAACGTCACTGTACCCCCAACGAGACAGTACCCACAACGTCACTGTACCCCCAACGAGACAGTACCCACAACGTCACTGTACCCCCAACGAGACAGTACCCACAACGTCACTGTACCCAAAACGGGACAGTACCAACAACGGGACAGTTCCCACAACGTCACTGTCCCCACAACGGGACAGTACCCATAACGTCACGGTACCCACAACGTCACTGTACCGAAAACGGGACAGTCCCCACAACGGGACAGTACCCACAACGTCCCTGTACCGACAACGGGACAGTACCCACAACGTCACCCACAACGGGACAGTACCCACAATGTCACTGTACCCCCAACGGGACAGTACCCACAACGTCACTGTAACCACAACGGGACAGTACCCACATCGGGACAGTACCCACAACGGGGCAGTACCCACAACGGGACAGTACTCAAAACGGGCCAGTACCCACAACGTCACTGTACCGACAACGGCACAGTACCCACAACGGGACAGAACCCACAACGTCACTGTACCCACAACGGAACAGTACCCATAACGTCACTGTACCCACAACGTAACTGTACCCACAACGGGACAGTATCCACAACGGGGCAGTACCCACATCGTCACCATACCCACAACGTCACTGTACCGACAACGGGCCAGTACCCACAACGTCACTGTACCCACACCGAGACAGTACCCACAACGTCACTGTCCCCACACCGGGACAGTACCAACAACGGGACAGTATCCAGAACGTCACTGTACCGACAACGGGACAGTAGCCACAACGGGACAGTACCCATAACGTCCCATAACGTCACTGTCCCCACAACGGGACAGTACCCATAACGTCCCATAACGTCACTGTACCCACAACGGGACAGTCCCCACAACGTCACTGTACCGACAACGGCACAGTACCAACAACGGGACAGTACCCAAAACGTCACTGTCCCCATAACGTCACTGTACCGACAACGACACTTTACCCACAACGGGACAGTACCCACAACGGAACAGTACACACAACGTCACTGTACCGACAACGGGACATTACCCACAACGGGACAGTACTCAAAACGGGCCAGTACCCACAACGTCACTGTACCGACAACGTCACTGTACCCACAACGGCACAGTACCCACAACGGGACAGTACCAACAACGGGACAGTACCCCCAACGGGACAGTACTCAAAACGGGACAGTACCCACAACGTCACTGTAACCACAACGGGACAGTACCCACATCGGGACAGTACCCAAAACGACACTGAACCCAAAGCGTCACTGTACCCACAACGTCACTTTACCCACAACGGTCACTGTACCCAAAACGTTACTGTACCCACAACGGGACAGTACTCAAAACGAGACAGTACCCACAACGTCACTGTACCCACAACGGGACAGTACCCAAAACGTCACTGTACCCATAACGTCACTGTACCGACAACGACACTGTACCCACAACGGGACAGTACCCATAACGTCACTGTACCCACAACGTCACTGTACCGACAACGGGACAGTACCCACAACGGGACAGTACCCATAACGTCACGGTACCCACAACGTCACTGTACCGAAAACGGGACAGTACCCACAACGGGACACTTCTGGAAAAACGGCCCAAGAAACTCGTATGCAATGCAAAGAAGAACTTCTATGTGTGCAGTTTTTATTTGAAAATACTTTTATGAAAATTTAACTGTATATAAGCTTTATTGGCTGCTGATTATTATTACGTGGACAATTAAAATCTGAGAAAACTTACCAAAAACAAAACTTTCCCGATTTACGTGCCTTGCGACGCTACTTATTTTGATATCATTTTCAAAAGTCTATTAAATTTTTATCAAAAGTAATGCTAGTTGGGAGAAGAAATTTAATCAGAACCACGTTTGACTCTAACATATTTGACCTATGTATACTTTTCCGTTGATATTGGTAGTTTATCCCAAATTAGTAGCCAAAATACCGAAGTGCCCCTTTCAGGATTCAGTTACGCCGGTTAATAGCCTACGTGATCCCTTATGGTATTTCGCGTTCTATTTATAGAACCATGCGCCTGAAATACCAACTTGTAATACAAATAAAATGTGGATAGTATATATTTATGAAAAATGACCAAACATTTTTGGAATCGATA